CAGTCTGTAAAGAACAGCAAAGGTAATAGTAAATCATTTACGTTCAGACTATTTGGATTACAAATCTGCTTTTCCCCCCTGGTAGCTCTGTTCTGGAAGGCGTGAAGGAATTATATCTGGAAGCTGCCCACCAAAATGGAGATACGATCGACCCAGACCTGCAGACAGGTCTAGGGGTGCTGTTCCACCTGAGCGGAGAATTTAATAGAGCAATAGATGCATTTAACGCCGCCTTAACTGTTCGGCCAGAGGTAAGTGCAGAGCAAGAAACCATATGGTTTTCTGCTAAAGAAACGTTTTCACCAGATGTACTTCCTACATTCTCTTGACTCTCACCTGAGGATTTTTTTTCCCCATTGATTTTTAGAGAGAGAAGAGAGAGGAGGGGAAGAGAGAGAGAGAGAAACATCAATGTGAGAGAGACACATGATTGGTTGCCTCCCACATGAGCCCCAACTGGACCAGGATCGAACCAGCAACCCAGGAGCATGCCCTTGACTGGAAATTGAACTCGAGACCCTCTAGTGTGCAGACCAGTGCTCTAACCACTGACAGACGCTGGGCAGGGCTGGGCAGTTTTGCTACACTTTATTTCCCTGCACCCCGCGGTTGAAAGCGATCAATACTAATGACATGCTACTGTGGCTATTAATACTTACATACCTAAAATAGAAACATGATTTGCCTGACACCATCCAATGGTAGCTCTCCTTGATGAATGAGAGGCATTTCACAAAGCAGTCCCTAACGATTTTTGAGTAATTCACCACGTCACGGCCCTAGTCCGTGAGCGCGGGAGACATGTTCAGCCATCAGCCTTCTCCTGCAGGGACAGGAGGACACTCGGCCACTCAGGCTGGTGCTGTGGTCAGAGAGAGACCCCTCCCTTTGTCATCAGGACTATTCGTTATGGAACCGTCTGGGGGCGACCTTGGCGAATGGAGACCGCAGCGAGGAAGCCGTGGAGGCCTACACGCGGGCGCTGGAGATCCAGCCCGGCTTCATCCGCTCCAGATACAACCTGGGCATCAGCTGCATCAACCTGGGCGCCTACAGGTGAAGTATGACGGCAAGCGGGGACCAAGAGCCAGGCGCGGGGCTGGGGAAGAATAACCTGAAAGGTGGTTTGCCACCAAAATACCTCCTTTTAGGGGTAATCCTCCTCCTCCTCCTCCTCCTCCTAAGGGTAAGCTTCCCAGCTTCAGTTCCTGAGGCCGGCTGAAGCAGCAACAATTTGTTTAGTGTTTCTCAGTCTTTAGGGAGCAGCCATCCTACCGGCACTGTGTGAAATGCACATTCCCAGGTCCCATCTAGTTATTATTATTATTATTATTATTATTATTCGGTCGACCAGGGTTGGGACAAGTTATCTGGATTCTTAACATCCCCAAGGGCAACTCTGAGAATAATCCAAACCTTCATTTTCCTGGTAAGAAAAGGAAAACCTGGGGCGGGGGGGGGGGGGGGGGG